CTCCCAGGGGCAGTTCTACCCTGTCCCTCAAGGTCCTGTGAGTTGGCATGGACTGCATGGCCGTGAGTTGGGTGGTTGGTTGGTTTTTGAATGTGAATGTGACCACTGCAACTGCTTCTCTGGTGAGGCGTGTAATGTCAGCTGGTATTGATGGTTTCGTGGGCCTTATATGACCCTAGAGCCAGACATTCCCCACCCCTGGTTTAAAGGGAGGCATGGGGAGGTGGGGAGAGAGGAGCTCTAACTCAGAAGACAGACAGAAGAGTTAGGTAGCTACAGTGGGTCTTTTGCCCGAGAAAGCATCTGGCCAGGCTCAGCAGGAGAAGGCTAACAGGAACTATCCTCATGAAGGAACTGAGTCCGACTTACAGACTTGTTAAACTCAACAGGAAAGAGGAGGCTGGCTGCTCCTGTAAATGTGTACGGTCTCAGGAACCCAGTGGAGCAGTTCTGTTGCGCCCTGTCGTGACTGGGAGTGGGAATTGACTTCATACGGGGCAGTCCTATCCTGTCCTGTAGGATTGCTGTGAGTCGGCCTCAATTGATGGCAGTGAGGGTTTTTTTAAATTATTATTTTTATTCAACTCCACAGCCCTGGGAGTGGGGAGGCAATGAGTTAAAAAAAAAAGGAGAATGAGTAAAACAAAAGGCAGAAATTAATAAACAGGAGAAGGTTCAACAAAGCCAGAAATTGATTTAATAGAAATAACTAAATAAAAATCATTAAAATGCATTACAAAAGCAAAACCTGCACACAGGGATGCAAAGGAGACGACATGCATTAGAGACATTTTAAAGGATTATTATAATTGTGCAGTAAATATCACGTGCAAGAATGTGCAGATCACTTTGAAAATTGAGTCATGAAATATAAAATCGGAATTTTACTAAATCCACAAGAGCAATCCCATTTTTATATTTAAAAGGGACAGCTAAGCATCTCCTTTTTACTGCATTAGTATAACCTCGATACCCAAATCAGACAAAGTCAGTTTACGTTCTTATCGGTCTCCCCTGTGGAGGACTATCTAACCCTGTGTAACAAACCACCCCATCTTCGTGGTGTAGAACAAGTCCCTTGATTATGGGCATATATCCTCTGCACCAGGAGTTCAGACAGCCCATCCAGAATGACTTCTCTTGGCTTTAAAGTGCCTGGCTTCAGTTGGGAAGACTACAATGTCGGGGTGAGGTGAATGGCTTGAGAATGGAATCATCTAGGTTATTTTATTCTCACATCTGAGGCTCAGACTCAACCACAGAGCGAAGCTTGGATTCTCCCTGAAAGTATATGCACAGCACATCTCGTAGCTTGCGTTTCTCCACCACGGTGACCGGGTTCTGAAAGGAACATCGGGTAAGTAGGCATTCTGAGAGAGAAAACAAACTAGATGAGCCTTCTTACTCAAACTCAGAAGTTGTACCATCATGCAAGCCACACTCAATTCAAAGGTGGAGGTAA